CGATTGAGATGCAATTTTGCAAACCATATTTGCCCAAGCACGAACCCTACTGAAATTGGTGAAAATCGGTTTACATTTAGATATACCTCCAATATATATTCAACCGATTTTGGGTTAGTTGTGCTTCAAATGGCCAACATCAGTCCAAATTACCTGCATTTTTGTAAATCCGACCGGATTCAGTTTAAAAGCTACTACATCAAATTTGTTGAAAATCGGTTCAGATATAGCTATAGCTCCCATATATATGTGCCATCTTACTTGAGTCCCTCACATTCGTAATATGTATTCGACAAGAATACATACAAGTACCAGATAGCTCCCATACATATGTGCCATCCGATTTGCATCCGACAAGAATGATATTTGGTACCAGATATCAAATACAGCCCAGAAATTCCTCTGCCAAAATTTATCAAGATCGATTCAGTTTTGGATATAGCGCCCATATATATCTTCAATCCGATTTCGGTTTATTATGCACTAAATGGCCAATATCAGTCCAAATGACCTGAAGTTTGGCACATACGATCGTGTTCAGTCTAGAAGCAAGTACATCAAATTTGGTGAAAATCGATTCAGATATAGTTATAGCTCTCATATATATGTTTCATCCGATTTGGTGTTTAAGTCCCTCACATGCGTAATATGCACCTCACAAGAATGATATTTGGTGTCAGATATCAGATATAGCCCAAATCTTATCTTATCTGCCAAATCTTATCAAGATCGATTCAGATTTGGATATAGCTCCCATATATATCCTCAATCCGATTTAAGGATTATTGTGTAAATAATGGCTAATATCGGCCCAATTGGAGTGAATTTCGGAACGTACGCTTTCATTTGGCGGAACTCGCCTCCGATATATATTTTTTTAATATAAACCTTCTTGAAGTGATACCATGCACTCTATAGCAATGTTAGTTGGTATAAAAACAAAAAAAAATGTCTCCGTCAAACGTAGAGAAAATCGATTAAGAATTGGATATGCCTCCCAAATATTAGTTCCAAATTATAACTGCTCTAAAGCCAAATGCTGATAGGTGGTATGATCTACTTCAAATAAATTATGTTGTTGCTGGAGTTCTAATAAATATACATGGTGGTGTAGGTCCCGCCTGACTTTTGACTTTTCCCAGTTGATTATATCTGTGCCAAAATTGATTATATCTGTCAAACTATCGTTTGAACGCATAGTTTTCAAATTTTTTCCATTTTTTATTTTTATCTTAATTATTCTTTTTTTTTATTTATTATTTTTTTTTTTTTTTTGGTGAAATCTACACCTGGGGTGGAACGTTTCTTCATTACACGAATATAACTTAAAAATTCCAAAATTTGGTTTGGTTAGAAAATTATAGCAAATTTATGTTCCTTCATCTAATAAAAAAAAGTTCAGGATTATGTGGGTGGGGTTCCCCAAGCTACAATCTGTTCAATCCAATTAATTAGGAACTTTGTTTACAAATCAGTCTTATTCCTTTCAGTTTTATAAAAATCCTAAAAAACAGCATCTGTTTTGTTGCTAACCAATTAAAGTAGAGACAATTTTTATATACAGATTGTAGCCCAATTTCAACACTACCAAATTCTTGCTAAGGACACCCATGAGGATAACACAAAATAACTGAAAAAATTCTACTATTTTTGCCAATTGAAAATAAAAGTGAAATAAAAAGTCTCTGGTTTCAAATGATTTTTTTGTTTCAATATTTTTGTGTATTTTTTATTATTTCATACAAATTATTTGTTGGTTGGTTTTTTTGTTTTTGTTGTTGTTTGTGGTTCTTTTCATTGTTTTTTTTTGTATAAATCTTAAATGTTTAACGTACAAATATGTTTTGTTTGTTATTTTTATTGTTTGTAATTTAAATGGTATTGTTTTTTTGTTTGTTTTGCTTTTTATATATTTTATTATTGTTGTTGTTGTTCTTCTGGTATTGTATATAATATTGTATAATAATATAAATATATATATTTATATGCTTGGGTTTTTTTATTATAATTATGTGTTGTTGTTGTTGCTTAAGGAAAACTATGATTACAAAGTAATTAGTTGTGGTTTATGCTTGTTTTTTTGTTTTGCTTATCAGACGCCAACTTATCTTGGTTCTCCTTGGTTTGAAGGAGTTCAGCTTTGTTTGTTTATTTTTACTTATTTTTTTTAATAATATTTTTATACAAAATTTTTTATAATATTTATTTTTATTATTTGTTACTCTTACAAACTAATCAGCCTCATGTTATAAATTTTCAAAAATTTCATTTTTTTATATATTTGTGTTGGTTGATTTTTTTCTTTCTTAGTAAATAAAAATTTTAGGGACTAAGGAATGGGATGTTTAAGGATAAGGAAAAAAACTTAATTTTTTTGTTTTGTTTTTAAAGATCAACAAAATGCGGTGGGTTTTTACATACAAAATTAAGGGGGAAAATAATTTTTCCTTTTTTTGCCATGGAAAGGGAGGTTATTTTAAGGTTCAGGAGACATTTTTTATATAATTTTTAAATTATTGGTATATTTTCTACAAATACTGCTTAATTTTTTTCTGAATATGTTTTTTTACAAGTTTCTTGCTGTTTTTTTTTTCTTTTTGCATTTCTAATATAATAATTATTAATAATAATTCTTTAGTTTCTAGTTTTGTTTTTGAAAAAACATAATATTTTCCCAAAAATATTCACCCGCTTCACTTGGCCATCCTACTAATCGGGGAAATTGTTTTCAAATATTTTTTTGTTGTTATTTTTTTTTTTTTTTTCAAAGATCTCATTGTTGACACTTGTTAGGAACAGTTTGGGGTTTTTGTAATCTGTCTCTAAGATTGCATTCGAAATTTCCATCATTTCCCCGAATTCAGATACCAAATGAAACCAGGCTTTTAAAAGCACCGATTTTTCAGCTACGATTTTGTTTTTTTTCTTCCTCTTTTAATTACTCATTAAACTACGCTACAAATATTAAATGAAAATCATCTACAAGTATAGAGAAAAATTATACACTATTTATATATTTTTTCAATAATTTTACAAAACGAAAATGTTTCTTTCAGAACTCATCAGAAAGGAGAAATCCAAGCAAAACACGAAAGTTTTTTTTCTCCAAATGGGAAAAAATATCACTGATGAAGCGCGAAATATACTAAAGAGAAAAAGTATCACTGGTGATACTTTTTTCTATACGGAAAAAATATCACCGATGATATTTTTTTCTATACGGAAAAAATATCACCGATGATATTTTTTTCTATACGGAAAAAATATCACCGATGATATTTTTTTCTATACGGAAAAAATATCACCGATGATATTTTTTTCTATACGGAAAAAATATCACCGATGATATTTTTTTCTATACGGAAAAAATATCACCGATGATATTCTTCTATACGGAAAATATATCACTGGTTATATTTTTTCCATACGGAAAATATGTCACTGGTGATATTTTTTCTTTACGGAGAAAAAACATCACTGATGTGATATTTTTTCTATACGGAGAAAAAAACATCACTGATGTGATATTTTTTCTATACGGAGAAAAAAACATCACTGATGTGATATTTTTTCTATACGGAGAAAAAACATCACAGATGTGATATTTTTTCTATGCGGAGAAAATATATCACAGATGTGATATTTTTTCTATGCGGAGAAAATATATCACAGATGTGATATTTTTTCTATGCGGAGAAAATATATCACTGATGTGATATTTTTTCTATGCGGAGAAAATATATCACTGATGTGATATTTTTTCTATGCGGAGAAAATATATCACCGATGATATTTTTTCTCTATACGGAGAAAATATATCACCGATGATATTTTTTCTCTATACGGAGAAAATATATCACCGATGATATTTTTTCTCTATACGGAGAAAATATATCACCGATGATATTTTTTCTCTATACGGAGAAAATATATCACTGATGTGATATTTTTTCTATACGGAGAAAATATATCACTGATGTGATATTTTTTCTATACGGAGAAGATATATCACTGATGTGATATTTTTTCTATACAGAGAAAATATATCACTGATGTGATATTTTTTCTATACGGAGAAAATATATCACTGATGTGATATTTTTTCTATACGGAGAAAATATATCACTGATGTGATATTTTTTCTATACGGAGAAAATATATCACTGATGTGATATTTTTTCTATACGGAGAAAATATATCACTGATGTGATATTTTTTCTATACGGAGAAAATATATCACTGATGTGATATTTTTTCTATACGGAGAAAATATATCACTGATGTGATATTTTTCTATACGGAGAAAATATATCACTGATGTGATATTTTTTCTATACGGAGAAAATATATCACTGATGTGATATTTTTTCTATACGGAGAAAATATATCACTGATGTGATATTTTTTCTATACGGAGAAAATATATCACTGATGTGATATTTTTTCTATACGGAGAAAATATATCACTGATGTGATATTTTTCTATACGTAGAAAATATATCACTGATGTGATATTTTTTCTATACGGAGAAAATATATCACTGATGTGATATTTTTTCTATACGGAGAAAATATATCACTGATGTGATACTTTTTCTATACGGAGGAAATATATCACTGATGTGATATTTTTTCTATACGGAGAAAATATATCACTGATGTGATATTTTTTCTATACGGAGAAAATATATCACTGATGTGATATTTTTCTCTATACAGAAAAAAGTATCACTTGTGATATTTTTATCACTTGTGATATTTTTTCCCTATGTCAAAGGACCTCTTCTTCATTCTCCCCTTCTGATAAGTTGAAGAAAAAATAATTAATTAATTTAATTTTCTTTTCTTTTTGTTTTAATTACAATAATAATTTCTCTTGTTGTTGTTGTTCATACTAATAATAGTTTATGTATATTTAATTAATTAATAATTAATAAATCTAATGAAATAAGGCAACTTTTATGTAATTTGATATTTGTTGTTATAACGATATTTACAAATTGTTTTTTATTTTATGAATATTTTTTTATGATGCTATGTGTGTATGTATGTATGTAGTTTTGTATCTTGCTATGGTGATGTTTTTTTGTTTATTAAATATTATCAAATGTTTATAATTTTTTGTTTGTTTAAATGCACTTTTTTCGCTTTCTCTTTTGCTTTATAGTAGTTATAAGACAATATCGGAGTATGGTTTATATATAAATGTGTTTTGTTGTTTTTGATTGTTATTAATAATAGACAAGATTTGGTAGGGTTGAGAAAGGGGGTCGGCGAGGAGGGAATGTTGGGAAAAAGCGCGTTTAACACACTATTTTTTTTAATTATATACAAAAGAGCTTAAGCCAGGGGCTTTGTTATCAATTTAATTTGAGTGGGGGCAGAGGGGGGTTTTGTTTAATTTTCTAGTCTTGTTTGGTTGTGTTTTGAAGGGCGGGTAGGTTTTTCTTGCTTGTTTTTTTTTTGTAATTGGCTGCCAATTGTTGAGATCGTCTATCAAGAATTTTTGTTTTAGCTATTCTTTGTTAAGAGTTTTCTTAATTTAGAAAATCAGAGAATTTCCAAAGCTTCTCCTTTTCTTCCAAAAGAAGTTCTCTATTTTCTAATAATACCGATTTGTGTATTGCACTTGGTTATCTATAGAGGAATCTGTTTAGGCATTGGGTTTTTTTGCTGGGGCAATGGGGTTTCGATACCGAAACCTTGTGGTTCTCCCCATTTTACGGCTATGCTGCTGCTTATCCATAATGTCTGGCTGGGCCTTTAGAGACCTTTGGGACATTTCGCGTCCTTGCCGCATTTACGTACATTCTATAATCATGGGTTGACTGGATTCTATAACGGAGGGGCGATTATCTTGGGCCGGTCCCAGTGAATGTCCCGAGGCTGCGGCATGGGCAGCAGCTGCTGCTGCCGCTGCAGCATGGGCCGCCGCCGCAGCTGCCATCTGGGCATGAGTGGGACCATTACCACTATCATGTACCACACCACCGGGCATCATATGGATTTGGGGTTTAACTTTGAGAGATTGCTGCTGCTGTTGTTGTTGCTGCAGTAAATGTTGCTGATGCACCTGATGCATAGTTTGGGCTGGGGATTGTTGCTGGTTGGCGGTGGTCAGTAGCATACTGGCATTGTGAGGTGGTGGCAAATGTTGATGCATCATACTGACATGTTGACTCTGCAGATGGGCCAAATGTTGTTGTTGCTGCTGCTGCGGATGCGTTAAGACACGTTGGGCATTCAAATGGTCCTGAGCGGCGGAGCCGTTCATATGTCTAAGGTGAGGATTCATGTGTTGTTGCATTTGCTCAAAGGCCTCACGGGAATCGGGTTCGGGGTGGTCATTGTCTGAAAATTGAGAAAAAACAATAAATTAATAAAAATCAAAAATAGAATTTAAAATTTACGAAAATATCAAAAAATATAAGTTACAACTTTTGCGACACGTCATTGAACGTTCAAGTTCCGCTTTAAATGCTATGGAGCCATTTTACACGTTTTAGACCCAATTATACATGCTTTAGACCGAATTATACAAGTTTTAGACGCAATTATACAAGTTTATGACAGACTGTGCATAATTCATTTGACGCCTGTTTTGAATATTTGAGAGGATTTTGACATTTACGACCGCCAATACAAGTTTACGACATGAGATATACATTTTTGACAGGTTTACGACAATTGATACATGCTTGTCAAGCAAGAATTGCATACATAAGAAACGTTAAAGGTTTGATTTACATTCTTTAGCAACATTTTACAGGTTTACGACAAATTATACGAGTTTTAGACTCAATTATACAAGTTTACGACAAGTTGTATTTAATTCATTTGACACAAGTTTTAAATATTTGTGTCTATTTTCGTATTTACGACAGTCAATACATGTTTATGACATGAATTATCATTTTTGGCAGGTTTACGACAATTCATACATGCTTGTCAAGCAAGAATTTCATACTTAAGAAACGTTAAAGGTATGATTTACATGTTTGAGAAACATTTTACAGGTTTACGACAAATTATACGAGTTTTAGACACTATTATACAAGTTTACTACAAGCTTTATTGAATTAAATTGACGCGAGTTTCGTGAATTTCAGACGATTTTTAAGTTTTCGACAGTAAAAACTTGTTTACGACATGAAATATACACTTTCGACAGGTTTTTGACAATTGATACATGATAGTCAAACAAGATTTATATACTCATGATATGAATAGGGTTCCCATTACATGGCATGCTAACATTTAAGATGTTTACGACAACATTTATATGTTTTCGACACAATTATACAAGTTTACGACAAGTTGTACATAATCCATTTGACAGGAGTTTTATACTATAAACATAAATTACATGTTTACAACAATACATAATTGTTTGCAATAATTTATACATGATTTTGACACAATTATACAATTTTATACATGTTTACGACAAAGTGTACAAATTGTATACGACATGAATTCCTTGTTTTTATTAATAAATTAATGTTTGCAACAAGTAATAATTGCTTTTTACATGTTTACGACAAATTATACAGGTTTACGACAATATCAAAATCCATTAGATTTAAATATTCATCGACCGATACATGTTTGCAACAGTTTTTACATGTTTGCAACCAATTATACTTGATTTTGACACGTTTACGACAAATTATACTGGTTTACGACATTGTCAAAATCTATTACATGTTTGTTTTTTACAAGGGATACGTGTTTGCAGCAGTTTCAACATGTTTGCAACCAATTATACAAGTTTTTGACACGTTTACGACAAATTATACAGGTTTACGACAATGTCAAAAAACCCTTAGAGCTTGTTTCCTACAATGGATACATGTTTGCAATAGTTTATAATCCTTTTGACATGTTATACATGTTTACGACAAATTATACAGGTTTACGACAATGTCAAAATCCACTAGATATTAATTTTCTACAATGCAAACATATTTACAGCAGTTTCAACATATTTTAGACATGTTTGCAACCAATTATACCAGTTTTTGACATGTTTACGACAAATTATACAGGTTTACGACAATGTCAAAATCCATAGGATGTTTGTTTTCTACAAGAGATACATGTTTGCAACAGTTTGTACATGTTTGCAACCAACTATACTTGATTTTGACACGTTTACGACAAATTATACAGGTTTACGACATTGTCAAAATTCATTATATGTTTGTTTTCTACGAGGGATACAGGTTTGCAGCAGTTTCAACATGTTTTCGACATGTTTGCAACCAATTATACAAGTTATTGACACGTTTACGACAATTTATACAGGTTTACGACAATTTATACAGGTTTACGACAATGTCAAAAAACCTTTAGGGCTTGTTTCCTGCAATGGATACATGTTTGCAATAGTTTATACAACCTTTTGACATGTTATACATGTTTTTGACATGTTTACGACAAATTATACAGGTTTACGACAATGTCAAAATCCACTAGATATTAATTTTCTACAATGGAAACATATTTTCAGCAGTTTCAACATATTTTAGACATGTTTGCAACCAATTATACAGGTTTTTGACACGTTTACGACAAATTATACAAGTTTACGACATTGTCAAAATTCATAAGATGTTTGTTTTCTACAATGTTTACATGTTTGCAGCAGTTTATACATGCTTTTGACACGTTTACGACAAATTATACATGTTTTCGACATGTTTACGACAAATTATACCGAATTTTTGACACATTCCCAAAATTTCCTTTTTTACAAAATTTTGAAATCATGTAAAAATATGCAAATATGTGATGCTTACCCAAACATTCTGTGGTCGCTGCCGCAGCCATGGCCAACTCCTCCTCCAGATTGTTCGGCTTACAGCTGGTCGTCTTCCAATGGGTTCTCAGGCCAGAGGCACTAATGTATTTCTTATCACAACCCTGACACACATAAGGCCGATCGTTGGTGTGCAGTCGTTTGTGCAGCTTCAGGTGGACAAATTGCGTGAACTTCTGGGGACACAGATCACAGGCATAGGGTTTCTGGCCACTGTGCAGGCGCAGATGGGTCTTCAGATTCGATGTCGACGAGAAACGTTTCTTACAGATGTCACACTGGTGCGGCTTTTCGCCGGTGTGGACCAGGTGGTGTTTCTGCAGATGGGCCAGTTGGGTGAAGCTCTTCGTGCAGACATTACACTTGAATGGCCGCTCGCCAGAGTGGGTGCGTAAATGTACCTTCAGATTGCTTAGCTGGCCAAAGGTTTTACAGCAGACATTGCATTCGTAGTGCATTTTACCATCTTTCTTCTTGAGGGGATAGGGCAGGGAGCGATAACCCCGCGAGGCCAACGAATTGGGGCTAAGGGGACTGCCACTTCGTGGACATGAATTTCCGTCGGGACTTAGGCAGCTGGGCGGTGAAATCCTTAGGGGCGAAAGTCTTTGCAGCGGGGTAAGGGGTTGCATGAGCGGATGATTGAGCATTTGACTGCTACCCTGTAGCATGTGGAGATTTTGCTGGGAACCGCTGGAGGAATGTGATTGCCTGTCGAAGGGCGATTGAGCACTGTGTGGTGGCGAATGGAACGTGGAGGTGGGTGCATGCAGAACACTAACCGTTTGGCCGTTCAAGCTGCTGTTGGAATATGAGGAGTATGTGGAATAGGGTGGTGTGTGCTGGCCATCATTGACATAGGCAGCGGCATGGACCCCGTGGGGTGAGAAGAGCACATGATGTGCAGGGTGTCCATTGGAGAGTGGTGATGAGCAGAGTTCCTTTTTGGAATTCAAATGTAGATCGGCGTCGACCTCATGTCCGGAGTGATCCCCACCACCATTGCCAACGGCCATATTATTCGATGAGGAGTCGGGGCTAACAGCATTGCCATAACGATGGGATTTCTTATAGGAATAGGCCATTTCAGTGGGCGATGAGGGAGGTGGTGTGGCCGAGTTGGCCTGGTGACAGGCCACAGCAGCTGCTGCAGCAGCGGCCGCTGCCGCCGCCGTTTCCAAGCGATGTTGATGTTGTCCCGTCAGTATGGTCTCCAAAATACTGGAGGGTGGTGTGTAACGTATGTAACCTTGACCCCCCACCCCTGGGGGTGGTGGTGAGCTGGATTCGGCCTCATAGTAGGGTTTGATCAGCGGGACAATTGTGCGTTTTTGGCTGTTTTCCAGGACAATGACGGTACTGGAAGCTGGCTGAGTGGTGGTGTTGTTGCTGCTGGTCGTTGTGGCTGGTGAGTCCATTAGCCGATTGCTGGGTCTACAGGAATCGGTGCTGGCATCCATTAGCTCATCAATTTGTGTGGATGAGGTGCAAGTTGGTCGCTGGGTTTCATCCTCACTGGAGGTGGCCGCCTGCAGTTCATTTGTGGTGGTCGTGGTGCCGCTGCTGCTAGAGGTGGTGGTGGCATTCGATGCCTCAGTCTTGATGCTATTCTTAAACTCGTATTTCAGTGGCATTTTAACTTTTAGTTGGCGGAATTCATTTTTGCCGCACTCCACGGTGGCAGCAGCCACAATGGCCGCAGCCGTGGTGGCACTGACACCATTACTGGAGCTGTTTGTGGTACTGGCAGCACAGGCCTTTTGCGAGTGGGCAATTACCGTTTCTTTGGGAGCTATTGCCTTCTTGGAACAATCCAAAACATAGTTGTGCTCACTCTCACTGTCGCTGTCATCGCCGCCAGAGGGCGTTAGACGATCCTCGTGATACTCATTGCTGTGATAACCCTCATCGGAGCGCACGGAACGCACACTGCCATCATTGGGTGTTAGCTGGTGTTCATAGGGTGCCTCCTTTTGGGAGAGGGGAGAACCGCCCAGCAAAGGCTCCTTGGGGTCACAGTGGTCCTGGACAATTACTGTGGCAGGTTCTTGTTTTAAATGCAACACATTTTGATGATGGGTGTGGCGGATGAGAGAACGCGCCGCCGCCGTTGTGTTCGATGATCCTTGGCTGTGTTGTATGTGCGGGTGTGTTGTGTTTTGAGCTTGGTGTTGTTGTTGATGATTATTGGCTGGCGGGGAGGGACTCAGGGTGGGTGATCGTGAACGTCTGGCATTTGGTAGGTTGCCGGTTGTGCTGGCAACCGGTGGTGGCAAATGCAAACCCATAACATAGCTTATATGGTTATAGGCAATCTCTGGAGGAATTTCAGGAGCAGGCATACTATACGATGGGGTACAGGAGCGTGACTTTTTGTGACAGCCGTTGGCATACTCCGTTTCAGGATCTTCTTCGACTTCCTGCTCTGGCTCATCATCGTCCGGTCCCAGCAAAGTACGTTCGGGGTCAACATCATAACCCAAACGTTTGGCAAAATCCTTGCAATACCACACCATCAACTCCTCATTGGGCATTATATCGCGGGTGGTATAGAAGTAGATGTTTTCCTGATGTTGGCAGGCCACCAAGTTCATGGTGTCCAGACTATAGGCTGAGGCCACATAACGCATCCAATTGGCCTGGGAACGATCGGAGCCGTCCAAATAATAAAAATCATCATCTTTGAAGATCTAAAGAGAGGAAAGAGAAAAAATAGAGAATATTGAGCATTAGTATTACAAAAGAGAGAGCGAAAAGAGAGCTACTCATTTTTCTTGCAAAGAGAAATTATAGAGACATACAATTAAAGAGTTCAAGAGCATTGTGGCACTAAAACGTCTAACTAACTAACAGAGAGACTCTCCATATTAAATCAGGCCTGGCATTTAGGGACCGAACCCAGCCGCTTGAATTTAGGAGGTCTACGCAAAAATTATCTGACAATCATTACACAATATACGAGCATTACAATAACAACGACAACAACAAAAATTCAACATCAAGAGTTAGACAACAAATAGTATGAAATGAAAGTTACAGATAGAGAGAGAGAGAGAGGCAGACAGACAGAGATAGAGGAGAGAGCATGATAATTTAAAAGAGAGAATAGCAAACAAAAAAATACCTTTATATTCCCATAGGTTATATGGCGTGTTCCCTGCACCTGACCATGTTAATAATAGAGTCGAATGGGGTGATGATTGTGATGATGATGTTGGTGGGTAAGATTTGGGTTTTTTTTGGGAGGATTAATTTTAGGTTAGGGCGAAAACATAAAAATAAAAAAAAAACACAATTTTTGAGGTTAGTTTAATTTTGATTAATGACTGAGAGAGAGTCCAATATAGTGGTGATGATGATAAAAGTTATTAGGTTTGTTGAAAATTTAGAGCGAATAAAAAGTTCTCTTTATGCGAGGTATGGACCTAAAGTATTCTCATTAACTTAAGTTCGTTTGGATATGGAATTTTGGTTATCTGAAGTTGTGGATACAAAAATTTGGGTTACGATATCAACAAATTTTTATTATCCGAGGTACACGGATAAAATATTTTGGTTATCCTAAGCCCGCCGATAAGATGTATTTTGTTATTCGAAATACGGCTATAAGTAATTTTTGTACGTGGATAAGATATTTTTGTTATCCTACCCTATTCAAACAACGCCGATCATATTTATATTATCCAAATAATGTGAATAAAATTGTTCCTTTATCCATATCATGAGAATAACATTTTGACCTCATATGTATCAAATAGATGAAGTTTAATCTTATTCCGAAGTACCTGGATGCAATTTTTACATATCCAAACCGTTCAGATAAGATTTTAACCCAATGGATATCGATTTGACTTTATCCGAAGGATCTGAATAATATTTTTTACTTATCCAAATCACGCGGATAATATTTAGACCTCATCCGAAGGACATGGATAACAATTTTAACATGTCAAAATTACGCGGATAAGCTTTACAGCTTATCCAAAAAGCGGGGATAAAATTTCTAATTTATCCATATCGTGTGGATAACATTTTGATCGCATATATATCGATCGGATAATGTTTTGACTTTATCCGAAGGTCCTGGATAACATTTTTTACCTATCCAAATCGCGCGGATAAAATGTTGACCCTATCCAAAGGACATGGATACCAATTTCAAGATATCTAAATAACGCGGATAAGTTGCATGCCTTATTCAGATGGCGTGGATAACAATTTTTATTTATCCTTGTCGTAAGGATAACATTTTGATCGCATACAAATTGAATGGATAAAATTTTGACTTTATCCCAAGGCCTTGAATAATATATTCACTTATCGAAATCGTGCGGATAAAATGTTGACCCTATCCAAAGGTCATGGATAACAATTTCAAGATATCTAAACAACGCGGATAAGTTCTATGTCTTATGCAGATAGAGTGGATAATATTTTTTTTATTTATCCATGTCGTTTTTAGCTTATCCAAAGCGAGCGGATAATGTTTTGATTTTATCCGAAAGACGTGGATAACAATTTGAACATATTTATACAACGCGGATAAATTCTAAGTCTTATCCAGATCACGGCTGTAACATTTTTAGCTTATCCAAATCACGCGAATAACATTTTTATGTAATCCAAATGGCAAAACTCAAATTCTTGTTATATCCGAAACGTATGGATAACGTACTGAATTTATCCAAAGCTTGTGGATAACATATTGACTTTATCCGAAAAGTGTGAATCGAATTTTAGGTCATCCAAATGCTCGACTTATCCAAATCGTGAGGATAACATTTTTCTTTATCCGTAGAACGCGGATAACATTTTTACCTTATCCGAAGCAAGTGAACAACATTTTCAGTTTATCCAAACAGCGCGGATAACATTTTTTATATTATCCATGTTGCAAGACTTTCATTCCATCATTATCCGAAGTGTGTGGATAACATATTAACTTTATTCGAAGGACGTGGATAAAGTTTTCACGTTATCCGAAGCAAGTGGATAATATTTTCAGTTTATCCAAACCGAGCGGATAAGATTTTCATTTTATCCAAATTGCCTGGCATAGATTATCGCCTTATCCGAAGCATGTAGATAACATACTGACTTTATCCGAAGCATGTAAATAACATATTGACCTTATCCGAAGTATGTGGATAATATATTGACTTTATCCGAAGCATGTGGATAACACTTTCTCATTATCCAAAGCATTTATATGACATTTTTAGCTTATCCATATCGAGCGGATAATAATTTAGCTTTATCCAATGCGTGTATATAATAATTTAGCTTATCCAAATCATGCGGATAACATTTTCATATTATCCAAGGCAGGGATATATTTATCCAAACCGTGTGGATAAGATATTTACTTTATCCGAAGCAAGTGGATAATAGTCACATCTTGTCCCAATCTAGTGGATAACTTATTTTGGGCATCTGAACTGAATCGAATACTTTGCGCTATACAAAAGACCAAAACAGAAATATCCCCTTTCTGTTGTCCAAAATCCATGGATAATTTTTTTTTTACGGATAAAAAAATATAAAATATAATTATTCATTTTTAATGGTTTTGTGTTTGCAATTTCCAAGCAAAACCAAGTTTTCTCTGTGATGAGACTCTCTCTTTGATCCCTTTTTGGTATTCTCTCACTGGATTTTCTCATCTTTCGTAAGAGAGAGAGAGAGAGGGAGAGAATTTATCAAAATCCCTTTAATTTTATTTATTATAGTTTTCTTTTTGTTCAAGAAGAATTGCTTCAAAAGCTTCAATATTTGGTGAGTTTATGACTTCAAGAGAGCGAGAGTGTGGGAGAGCGAGAGAATATAGTGATAAAGACTTAAAAAAAAAGTATCTGAAACTTACCCTCCAAAAGTAGCGGGCCGTATTGGGATCATTGGGATAGTGTGGTGTGGGCACACCCTCAAAGGGACCAAAACGGGTGCCTCTGGGTATAACGCCGGTGCTCCAAACACCTTCAGTCTATTAAAAAAACAAAAAAAAAACGAGAGAATATAATTAAAAATGGTGCTGAAGAGATTCTTTCGGATGCGCTTTTTACCTTTACATTGGCTGATGAAAACACCAGCGAGGGTTTGAGTGTTAAACTGCGTGGCAGGGTCTTGTCGGCCCGATTGGCCAGGCCTCGCTCACACTGAACATCGGGTACAATGTAGACGGCCAAACGTTCAAAGTCTTCTTCTCTCATGCGTGTTACATCATAATCCCGCGTGCCATCCGGCGAGGGACTGCGTGCCGGTTCTGGAGCCATGGCCCGATTTGTGGCCCCACCAGTTGAACTACTGGCTATTTGTTCATTGTGTTTGTTGGAATTTGTGGCAGCATTGTTGTTGTTGCTGGTGGTGGTGTTAAGGCTGCGATTTGTTGTTGTCTCTGTTTGCATATTCATTTTGTGTGTGTGTTGGGGGTTGTGTGTTTTTGGGGGGTTTTGTGTAAAAATGTGGGAGATTTGAGCGTTATCCTTTTTTTGGAGGGGTTTTATCCAAAAAAATATGGGTTTTTGTAGCTTGCTTTGTTGTTATCAAAATTTGGGGGCCGTTTGGATAATTATTTGTGGTTTATAAATGTTTTGTTAATCTGCAAAGAAAAAGAGATGGAAAATTTAATTTAAATTCCTTTGTAGAGTCTCATTTCATGTAAAACTAAAGTTCAAGGTTATCCAGCTACCTTGGCCAGTACCCTTTTGCATTTCTGCTTGTTGCTTGTTTTACAGTTTTTTTTTTGTTTCCATTGTTAAACTATTTATTCGTGTTGGTGTGTGAGTGTTTGAATTGCATTTGCCTCATCCCCAGCTCTCCATACCCATCCCTGGCCGTGGCATTGGCCTGCGATTTGCGGTCTTTCGTTTTTCTTCCCACACTTGAATGCATTTGCATTTTTATAGAAATTCACTTTTACTTTAGTTCATTTGTTTGTCGTTCGTTCTCGGTCTCGGTCTTGGCCGTCGTTTGCTGTCTGATTAGCCAAACCAACCCCCTAACCCTACCCTAGCCACCCTATCCAACCAAGCCGTTCCTCTTTCCCCATTTACATTCCCCCTGTTGAGGAGGGGAATGCTGAGGGGTATAATTTTGATTTCATTGCACTTGAAAGTGTTGGTGCGTAATTTCTGTCCATGTGCTTGTGTGTGTGTGGATGATACTATAATTAATAAGACTCACTTTTAGCTTTCTTTCTTTTGTGTTTTAGGTGCGTGTGTGTGTGTGTGTGTGGGAATTTTGAGTACATTTTTTTTTTGTTCTAGAAAAGCTTTTCCCATCCAGAAAATATTCCTTGGCCAAATAACTCACCTATTTTATAGTTAAAAAAATATTTTATTTTTTTATATTTTCGATTTTTATAAAACGAGGTAGATTTTTCTTTAAAATTTTGTAACTTTTTATCACTTGTTTTTTGGTTTTAGGGCCATGTGGTTTCGTCTAAAATTAAATGCATTTTTCTCTTTTTTTCTTCTTCCTGACACCCTTACGCGACTGCATGCCAAACTGCACTTCGGCCATATAATTCCCCCAATTATAACTGAACCTAGACATTGTTTGCCTGTTTCATGTGTGTGCCGTTTCTGTTTCTTTTTTCGGTATTAGTGTGTAGTTGCAATAAATAAAAATATTGAAAACTTTTACTCTAACTAAAAGTTCTAGGGGCACCACTACAGGAGTAGACGCGGAAATTGAAAAATTATTCGCAATACAAAAAAAAAAATACAAATATAGATGCCCCTTCTCCTCCTCCATCCCAAACTAAGCCAGAAATCGTCCACACTACCTACTGACCCACATCGTTGCATGTGAACTAGTGTGCGGCTGGTTAAAGAGGGTGGTTATCGTGCATGTGTGTGTACGTGAGTTTGACAGTTGATGAGTGCATTAACTCATTTACACTCAAGTTGTGAGCACACACACACATACGGAGACGCACTCATAGACGCATGAAATGTAAATAAAAAATGTGAAATGCATTGCAGCACACAACTGGGCGAATGGCAGGGATGGGAGTATAAAATTATTTTTTGGCTTTTTATTCACAAAATATTAAATTTTAAAATGGATTTTTAAGGAAAATTCACAATTTCCAGCACACAAATGGGCGAAAGGCAGGGATGGGAGCATAGAATTATTTTTTTGCTTTCAAAAAAAAAAAAAAAAAAAAAAATCACAAAATATTAAATTTAATAATGGATTTTTAAGGAAAATTCATAATTTCCAGCACACAAATCGACGAAAGGCAGGGATGGGAGTATAGATATTTTTAGTTTTTTATTCACAAAATATTAAATTTAATAATCGATTTTTAAGGAAAATTTATATATTTTATTCTAAAAGCTTTCCATAAAGACAAAAGGAATCATAAAAATGATTTCCTTTAATTTTTTAAGAAATGTTAAAAAAGTCATATTTTGTCGAAGCATTTAAATGAATTATCTGAAATCCCTTGGATAACATATTTATTTTATCCGAAGTGTCTCCTTATCCCAACTAATGGATAACACTTATTTTCTAATCGAAGAATGTGGGTAAAATTTTTTAACCTATCCAAATCGCGTGTATAAACAAATTTAGTTTTTCCAAAGGTCATGGGTGACATTTTTGCCAATCCAAAATTGGAAGTTGACATTTTTCTTTTATCCGAAGTAGATGGATTACATTTTTTTCTTATCCAAACCGCATGGTTGGTTTTTTTTCTATTATCCGAAGCAAGCGGATAACATTTTGGGCTGATCTAAACCGCATGGTTGGCATTTTTCTTTTATCCGAAGCATGCGGATAACATCTTTGATTTATCCAAACCGCGTGGCTGACATTTTTCTTTTATCCAAAGCACGCAGATAACATTTTTATCTTTTCTAAATCGCAAGGATAACATATTTATTTTATCCGAAGTTCGCGGATAACATTTTAGAATTATCGGGATTGCATGGTTAACATTTTACTTTATCCAAAATACACGGATAAAATGTTTTCCTTTTTAAAATCACGTGGATAACATTATTGATTTATCCATATCACATGGATAACATATTTACTGCATCCAAAGTATTTGGATAAATTTTTTTTACTTTATCCGAAATATGCGGATAACACTTTTTTACTGTCCAAACTTTGTGGATAACATTTTTAGACTCTGATATACGTTGATATCATTTTTTATCAAATTTCTTTCGAAAACATATATTTTTCAATGAAAATTCAGTTTTGAAATTTTTCTAATTTATATGGATACACCCTGCTTGGGCGCCAAAAATAAATTATGCTAGTTTATATTTTTAACCTGAATCTTTGGCAAATCTTTAACAAGAAAAACAGAACGATTCCTAAATTTACCTCAAATTAAAAAAAAAACTAAATTTCCTTTTGAAAAAAAATTACTTGGGCGCCAATGTTTTTTTGCTCTAGGGAGGAAGCCTGTATAAATAAAAGAAAAATATTCAATTTTTTTAAACCATGTTTATCCTCCTTCAATGAATTTCGAAACTAGAAGCCTTTTCTGATGTAAAAAAAGAAAAAAAATTTTTAAAAAGAATTGAGCTTGGGCGCCAACAGAAACCCGTTTGGAAAATAAAAGTTTTTTTTTTTTTTTTAATTTAGTCCGGAGTAAGGGATCCCCCAAAATATATTTTAAAATATATTTAAAAAAATAAAATAAATTGACACTTCTGTTAATTTTTTAATAAAATTGTAAAAACAACAGCTTCTGGTGCTCATACCATTGCCAAATATTTTTTTTTCAAAATGTTTTATTTTTTCCCGGAAGCCAAGATATTTTATTTTAAAGATTCCCTTTTTAAATCCTATTTGACTCAATTACTATTATCCACCTCTGGTCCGCATTCACTGTTCTCCTGTGTGTGTGTGCGTGGCGAGAGAGAAACTTAGAAAATCAAATAAACGGTGAGTGCAATTTTTGTGGGAGATGTTCTCAAACCCCCCTCAATGTGATGCACAATTTTGCACAAATAATAAAGCTTTTATTTTTGGGCTTCCTCTTCCGTGTTGTGAAGAGAGAATGAGAGAGAGAATTTTGTAATAATTTGTGGGGAAGAGCATAAATTAACGCATTATAAATATGGAGGAATTTATAAGGATATTTTTAATTAAAAAATTAATAAAAAAAACTTACATGAAAAAAATGAACACAATTTTTATTTTCTCTTAAAATATAGAATTAAAAATATATATATTTTTTTATTTTTTTTAATACAAAAAACTCTTATTTTGAACACATTAAGGATCACTTGAATGTCCTTTTGAATTAACATAAAATCCCTTGGTTTAACGAGAACGTTTTAAATAAAATCTCTTTTAGAGTCTGCATATTTATTATTTTAATTGATACTTTTTTTATAAAATTTTTAAATGAATCTTTTTTCTTTCAACTTTCCCTTTTTTTCGCTATTTATTTATTTTTTTTCTTAAGGGGCCTGGTTGTTGGTCTTTCAATTAAAATCGCTTTCTTTTCTTTCACTGCAGCAATGCGCAACTAGCTTTTCATTTGCTATTGACGACGTTCTAAACGCACCGACCGTTTATACTGTTTAATAACGTAACATAACCGTCCGCTAGCCACTTGCAAAAACATTCTAAGTGCCGAAACATGCGGAAAACTGCGAAACCGCGAAAACCGTTTAACTACATAATGCAACAGCAAAAAAAAAAATAGAAAATGCAAAAAAAAAAAAAATAAAACAAATCAGAAAAAAAGCTAACGACACCACACTGTTCGTCAGTCATATCAACGCTCACTGCTGAAGCTTCTATTCTAAGTGATGGTATTGGTGTTAGTTTCGGCTAGCCAAGCGCCTCAATTGATAATGACACAGAAATCACAATAATGAAGATGGGGATGATAATGATCATCATCATCATCACCACCACCATCAGTGGGTGTATTGGTTGTGACCAGTAGAATCAAACGACCACCGCCATTAGCTCTTGTTGTTGCACTATTCTTATTGGTGGTGTAGGTCACAACAATAACACTAAAAACAGGAAACACTATATCAATTTTGAAAAATCCTAGAAAGATAAGATAAGCATACCCTGGCGAAATATTGAGTTTTCAATCATAAATTAGTGTTTTTATTTATTGGTGGAATAAAGAAGGAGGGTTACCTGGGGGAATTGCAGTGACACTTTTTTTTTTTTTTTTGAAATGGCGCCATTTAGTTTTTTTTAATTTGTTTTGGTTTCTTGTTTTTATTTTCGGTATACAATGTATTAAAATATTTCGTTATTTTTGTAATGAAGAGAAAAGGAAAAATTTAGGGGGTATAATGAGTCGGAAATAGGAAATATTTATTTTTAAGACTCCATATGACCCAAAATTTTTTCTAGGCCACAGAAATAAATAAAAATTTAAAAAAAATTTAATTTTAAGGAAATTTTTTCCTGAATGGGAAATTTTGAAAATATATTTAATTTCATTGAAAAAATGTGGTTTTCCATTAAAATAAAAAATTTCCTTAAAAATGTCCTTTTTGGGAAACTTCTATTTTTTGACCCCAAATTACTTAGATTTTCAGAAACGAAAGAATTAAAAAAAAAATAGGTAAAAGCAAAAATTCCCCCTCAAGGGAAATTTCTGAAAAGGGGGATACATTTTTATCTTAAGACACCATACGGTCTCACATTCCTTCTAACTCATTTATAAAAAAGGTGTTAAAAAAAAATTCCCTTTTTAAGGAATCCATTTTCAAAAGTCTCAGATATACTTCGGGAGCAGAGATAAAATTTCCTTCAACATATAAAAATTAAAGAAAATTAAAAAACAAAAATTTCCCTCTTAAAGGATTTTTTCCTGAATGAGGATTTTAATTTTGAAATTTTCGGAAAATTTTCCTGAACCTTTTAGAATTAAGAGTTTTTAATTGCTGAGACAAAAATGTCTCTCTATGCGTTTTTTTTAAAGAAAGGAAAATTTCTCTTGAAAAATTTGCCAAAACAAAAATTTCCCTTTATGGGATATTTTTA